CTTAGGATTAGGGTTAGGGTTAGGGTTAGGGTTAGGGTTAGGGAGTAGGCGTAGGCGACTCCCTAGACTTGTTAGTGGAGTAGGCGAGGTATGGTCCGGCATATTAGATAGTACCAGGGTACGTTCCGGCAGTACCCTGTAGGACATAGACCCTCTCAGCGTTAGTTGGCAATAAAGCTGTACAATGCGCATCCAAACGCTAATTTCTCTAGTACTAGACTAGCAAATACTTCGTGTCATGCATAATCACAATACATTATGACAAAATAAACTCTAGTTCCTCCCATTTCACTGCGCGTTGTCTTATAAAAGGTATTTGAAAATACCTCCAATGTTGTTCAAATTCTCCGATGTTGTTGACAGTTTCCCCAAGCAACCATGCAGCGGTGCTGCGGTACAGCGGTACGGGTGTAGCAAAGATAAAAACGTGACGTCACCTAACCACTTCGAGGCTAAATTGTTTGGCAAACAAGTCGGCGTTGGCGCCAGAATACCAGTTTTCTCACCTCTTTCTTGTGGGTTTTAAGCAAACGCGCAGTGAAATGGGAGCAACTAGAGTTTATTTTGTCATAAGGTAGTGTGATTATGCATGCCACGAAGTATTTGCTAGTCTAGTACTGGAGAAATTAGCGTTTGGATGCGCATTGTGCGGCTTTAACAGCATACATGTAACTTAGAGTTGGTCAAATAATATATTTCAAGCTCTAGGAATGTCGGGGGAGCTTCTGGGAAAGATTTTACTTTCGTTTTTCTCCTCCCCAGTCCTCGTTACCCCCATGCATTGATCTATGCTGCCGCACATCCAGATGAGACGGGATACTAGAGAAGCGTTGCTTACAAAAAATCGCTTCAAAATAATCGGTTCAAAATCAAACATGTTTGATTTGGAACGATCACCCGATAAAAATAATTGTAAGTAAAATCGTCTACAAATGAACGCGCACACCTACCCGATATCGGCTGATTTTTATCGGGCCTATCAAACCGCGTGATAAATCGGCTGGTGTGCGCCGGCCTTTAGATATGTGATATTGCGTATATGACTCTGTGTATTAATATTTGTGTTATCATCATCACGTTTCCAAACTTCTTTGTTTTAGTTATCAATATAGCAAAAATTATATTATTATTGTATAATTTACAATATATATGTAAGCTATATATGGAAGGGGAGGGGAAGGGGGAGAGAAGGAATGAGGATTGTATAGGCTGTAAGGTCAACAGGGTGTAAACAAGATAGAAGTGAAAAAAGAAAGGTGTAGCAGCAGGAGTAGGGAGGGGGGTGGCCAACTAGATAATTGTAATAGAGAGCAGTTGGCAGTTAAGGAGTAAGGAAAGATCAATATCAAGATGTCAGTATCAATATCAAAATATCGATATCATTTGAGACTAGAGCCTTGAGCAGTTGTGACGAAAATTGGCTCATTCCAATGGGCTCTGGTGTATCAAATCTACGCTCCTGACTCCATGAACTCATCCATGGTTCGTCTCAATCGATACCTTCCTTCGGGGTATAAGTTGTTTGCGTTAGAAGCAGATTGAGCTCGAGGCACACAGAATTACACTCTTTCTGCACAATTAAGCATGGTTCGAATTTTGGCTGAAAATCTAGTGGACAGCAGGACCACCAACTTCTGAAAGTTGGTGGTCCTGCACAAAAGTTAGTGGTCCGCTTATTTACTAGCAGTGAGTAACAAAATAGTATATAAAAATAACCATTTAATTGGCATTAACTTGTTGGCTGTTAATTGGCTGTTAGTTGGACTCATAGGGTCTATGTCCCCCAGGGTACTACCGGTACGTACCCTGGGTACGGTCCGGTATACCGGAACGTACCCTGGTAACTATTTGATATGGTTAGGGTTAGGGTTAGGGTTAGGCAGTAGGCGTCGGCCGACTCGCCTAGACTTTTAGTGGAGTAGGTCGAGGTATGTCGGCATATTAAGATAGTCACCGAGGGTAACGTTCCGGCAGTACCGTGTAGGAATAGACCTCCTCAGGCGTTAGTTGGCAATAAAGCTGACAATGCGCAAAAATTCCAAACGCTATATATTCTCTAAGTCTAGACTAGCAAATACTTCGTGTCATGCATAATCACAATAATTATGACAAAAATAAACTCTAGTTCTCCATTTCACTGCGCGTGTCTTAATAAAGGGTATTTGAAAAATACCTCCAATGTTGTTCAAATTCTCCGATGTGTTGACAGTTTCGCCAAAGCAACGGCATGGCAGCGGTGGCTGCGTACAGCGTACGGGTGTAGCAAAGTAAAACGCTGACGTCACCTAACGCACTTCGAGCTAAAATTGTATTGCGCAAACAGTCGGCGGGAGTTGGCGCGCCACGAATCGAGTTTTCTCACCTCTTTTCTGTGGTTTATAGCAAACCGGCAGTGAAATGGGAGCAACTAGAGTTATAGTTTTGTCATAAGGTATAGTTTGAATACATGCCACGACAAAGTACTTTGCTAGTGCTAGGTAACTGAAAATTAGCGGTTTGGATTCGCATCTTGCGCTTCTACAGCATACATGTAACTTTAGAGTTGTCAAATAAGTATATTTCAACTAACTAGGAATGTCGGGAGCTTCTGGATAAATTTTACTATTCAGTTTTTTTTTTTTTTGTTGTCTCCTTCCCAAGCTCCTCGATGAAGTTTTGTGGCCCCCATGCATCATGATGGCTAGAGCTGCAGTATGTGCCGGGTTGCGTAGTACTGGGATTGGAAAGATAGAGCTGTGGACAACAGGCGATGACCAGAGCGTTAACGCTGAAGGCTAATGTCCCCCAGGGTAACTGCCGGAACGTACCCTGGTACTATCAATATGCGACCATACCTCGCCTACTCCACTAACCAGTCTAGGGAGTCGCCTACGCCTGACTCCCTAACCCTAACCCTAACTCCTACCATATTCAAATAGTTAACGCAGGCTATGTTAGCGGTATAACCGACCGTACCCAGGTACGTTCCGGCACGTGACGCCTGGGACAAAAAATTTATGAGCCAAAGGCACAGTGCCCTCCAAATTGCTAAGTATATACAGTTTACATTGCTTCTAGATAATCTAAGGAATAAAAACAGTGCCCACTTTCTACGGACAAAAGAAAAATGCCGAAATTCAGGCTTTGATACGTGGGGCGTGTTCATGTGTCACTGGTCGTGCCCTCATCCCCACACTAACCCCTGCACATATGAACATTGTTTATTCCGTCCAAAATACACTGGGCTACGCTACACGCCGCATATCGATTCTATTAGACTGTCTACGAGTTTTGTTCGTGTGCGATCATGCGTGTGAGTGAGCTTGCAATGCCCTCCGCTCTATGTGTTTTGGATATCCCGTCTACGTTCAGAGACAGAATGCCTCCCGTTACAAGTCTGATCTAAACTTGCCGTATGTAATTCCGTTAGTATTTTCATGCGCCATATGAGGGAAAAAGTGGCCGGCAGGAGGACCCGGCAGTTTCATAGAGAAAGTGGCCGAACACAAAACTTGGTGCCCTCGCTCGGCCCTCCGGTCGGCACTCACATTTCAAACGCTGTGCAACAACCTGATAGTGTATCCTGTTAACAGTTGGCAAAAGCCCGCGAACCACCTTCCGATCCAGACAGCAGATCATAAGAGGCAAACGTAGAGCAAAATTTCCTTTCGGCATCGACCGACAACAAGTCGGCGATACAACAAGACTCGTAACGAAACCACGCTGAAATTTACGATTGCAAGTTGATCAATTAGATTTCATTTATGAGCAAAATAATTCCGACGCCCCGAGCCAGAAATTCGTACGAAAAATATAAGATCAGGGTAGATAATTTAAATAATTCCCATTTGTCATTATCTACCCCAGATAAGATTAAGAAAACATACAGTAAATTGCTCCACTGGCTGATGACCATACCGCTTAACAAAAATTTCACAATCTACAAGCAATCCACAAGCGATCAACGACGGCTGCAAATAAGCACTCATGTGGGCATGAGGTAGCTTATGCTGATTGCTTATTCAAGCAATCAGGACCTGATCATCTGATGCTAAAACAACTCAGGACCAATCATGCGATTGCTGGGACCGATCGTCGATGCCAAATAAGCAATCAGGGACAGATCTTCTATTGCTTAATGAGCCATCGGTACCGATCATCGATTGCTTCACCCGATCAGTCGCCGATTGCTTATTAAGCAATCAAACGGTCATTTTAAGCTATCGCTCTGCACCATTGAGCGCTTATTTTAAGCCATCATTGGGGATCCGCTTGATCAGTCCTAATAGATCGCCGAATTGCTATTCATCATGACCGAAATCCAGGTGCCTCAGCGACCATCGCTGATCATTTAAGCAACTCAATGATCGCTTACTAATTCGCCGATTACTTGAAAATGGCTGACTCTCCTAACACTAAAACTAGAAAACAGACTCCGCTTATATACGTGTAGAAAAACAGATAAAACAATCTACGGTGGTATAACCTTTGCTTTCAATATTTTTGCGTCTGAACTAACAATCAATCCCCAAACAACTAGTGTAGGCTACAATTAATAATTAATTATAAACTAATAATTTAATAATTATTAGGGCATAGAGATTAATTAATCGTGAATTAATTCCAACGGCATTATTTTGTGGGAAGCTAACGCATGGACTACCGTACGCGA